TTCATATTCCTGCTCCTGTGCCTTCTTCAGAGCCCTGCCATCCCAAAGCTCCCCTCCACAGCCCACCTCTCACTCCACTCCTCCAGCCTGGATGGTGCCTTCCTTCTCTAAACTCCTGCAGCCTTCACTGTCTAACTGTTCTGGTATAAAGCTACCTTTTAAGACAGAAGTTACCAGGGCTGCTGTAGCTCAGTATTAGAGCATTACTGTAACCCCAGTTCAAACACCAGTACTCAAAAAAAAACTTTTACAAAATTAAAGTCACTATACTATTTGTTCAGAGACTATAAAGAAACCTTACATTAGTTATTTTGTTTTGTTTTCTTTAGGTGTTGCTAGGGGTTGGCCCAGAGCTTTGCGCACATGAGGCAAGCACTTACTCCTAAGCTGCATCTCCAGACGCTGCCACCAAGTTCGTACATGAAAGTTTCCATGTCTACATATAAATTTGCATTTAGGTTCCCTGAGCCAAACACAGAACAGCCTTTGCACATGTACTATTTGAAATAATGTCATCCAAAACAAGGGCTGCTCGGACAGTTTCTAAACGTGAAGTCCAAAACTGCAAGGCATTAGACTTATAAAGCCTAGGAACCCACAAAGAGCTAACAGATGTTCGTGGATATAAATTATTGGGTTGGTAGACTTTTTTTTTTTTTAAATAGTACTGGGGCTTGAACCAGGGCCTCACACATTCTAGGCAAGCATGCTATCACTGAGCCACATTCCTAACCATGGATATACATCTTTGGATCAAAGCAACGCATTTTTAAAATAAAACCTATCTACACATCTTTGGATGCCTTAAAATCTTCTAACTTCCAAAACTTTTCAAATGTAAATCACTACCCCAGAAGCTCAGAAACAAAATTAATAGTTAAAAATCGACAGCAGGAGTTTGAAAGAAAGAAGAGCAAGAGGCTCATGAATTTGGATTGAGGTGAGGAATATCTTAAAATACACCTTTCACTACATTTATTAGAAATTTAGCATTTCTCAATTAGGAATACAAGCAACAAATTTTATTTGTGCACAAACTCTATACCCATAAGTAGAGAAAATCTTGAAAATGGAAAGACTAATGCTGGCAGCAGAAGTTTAAAATGTGTATGACATGGTAAAAGGCAGCACACTGCGAGCAAAATGGGACACGGCAAAATAACCGATGGGAATTATCCATTAAATTATCCTGAAAGAGAATGACCCAAATAAAATTGTTAACTCACTATTATTTTCTATGACCTAACAATGATGAGAAGCCTTTCCTCAAAGATTTATTAATGCTTATATAATTTTCTTTAAGTGATACTAAGTAATGTTCTACTTTGTAAAAAGTCTACCATAAATTCAGTATTAAAACCAGTCAGATCTGTCTGTACATTTGTATGATATGTTATTTATTTACCAAATAATCTCACAAATATTATTCTATTTGCTCCTAACCACGTCTCTACAAAATAGCCTCGGAGGGGGCCTGCCCATTA